ACAGGTGTGCCTGAGGCGTGTCTTCCTAATGCTTCCAGATCCTGTCTAGTTGACAGTCAACACTAGCCATCACAACTAGTGTTTGGTAGTTTTGTTTTTCTGATACAAAGATATTATTTCCCTCTTTGTAATGAACTCATGGGAATGGGAGGGGAAGTTGCTTTCCTTAGTAGAATGTTCATAATTACAGAGTGTTGTTTTTCACTAGAACCTGTGGCTCAGTCTCTGGGCTCCTTTAGCAAAGCTTAGCCAGAGCTTGTCATGGAGAGACAAGGAGAATTGCTTATGGGGAAACTATGATTCTCATACATTCTACCATGTTAACCCTTAGCTGTTTTTAGAAAACATCCCATTAGCTCTGTAGGTAAGGGTCCATTCTTCAATGGTTTCTTCTGGCAGAGTCAGGTGGAAGTCTAGAGGGCAGGAAAATGGTCCTTTGGAAATCCAGGTGGCTAGCAGAGGGCAGTAACTGTCCTGTTTCTGACTTCTGAAAGGAGACTGGGACCTACTTGCCCTTTTCTGTCCCTTCCATGAGACCAGCCCTCCTTACCTGAGCTCTGGTTCCTAGCTCCTTCTTTAAGACATCTGCTTCTACCATCTTTCTCTTATAATCAGTAATCAATTGGAGACATATAATGTTAAAAAAAGTATTTGATTCTCTTCAGACTTGAAGGTTTTAATGAACATAAAAGGGAGTGAGGGAGGGAAGGAGAGAAGGAGGGACGGAGGGGGGAGGGAGGGAGAGAGGACAGGCATAGGAAAGGGGGCAGCTGAAAACTATCAGTGACCCCCAACTGCAAGAGTATCTCCATATCCCTTACAGATGACTAACTAGTTCAATGACTGTGGGACCCAGCTTTGGTCAAAAGGGAAAGCAGAGGTTTCTTGAGAACATTTCCTCTTTTAAATGGGTTGATCTCATTCTCCAAGTAGACAAGAACCAAGAAACATGAAGGCCTGACTTCCACAGCTGCCATTCTGCAGCTATTGAGGGAGCCAGATTTAGGAAGAAATAGTCATATGGATGGTGAAACTGGCAGACAAAAATGGATGGACCTTCCAAGATGTTGATGCCTCTTGGGAAAAAGCAGAATGTAGTACGATTTTGTGTAGACTTAGCTTAAATTCTAGCTCTGGTTTTAACCAGCAAGTTCCTCCATCTCTCTCATCCTTACTTTCCCCATAAAGATGAGCTTGAAGAGAAGAGTGAGCATATGTTTCAATGTTAGTGAGTGCCAATCACTCTTCTGACTCATTATGCTAACTCGTTAAGTATTTACATGCACCTCATTAAATGGATGCTCCTGTTGTCCACATTTTAGAGACAAGAGAACACAAGTTTAGGAAGGTTAAGTTTATAGCAACACTTTGAGTCAAAATTCTAAGCATGTTCTGTCCAAGTCCAAGTCCATCTTCCTCCTTGGAAGGAAGTGAGGCTTGAATTTGGGTCCCTACTATTTAGCACAGGGCCGACACACAGCATTTGACAAGTGTTAGAGGGTGAACATGGACTCATATATACTTCCTTCCAGCACAGAAGTGGGTGTTTTCCTTTTGCAAGAAAGGCTGAGAAATTCTGAGATCTGAGTGGGAAACCCAAGAACTTCTATGGAAGAAAAGTCTTGACTTAACTGAGGATATCTGATATCATTCAGTTTCTGCTTAGTAGCCTACATCATGTCCTAAGAAACCAGATTTCTGTATACACAGTCTCTTTTTATTATACCTGAGTGAGGATGATGAAAGAAAAATATTTTTATAATCAACACCAACAAAATAATGAAACATGTAGCTATTGTAAAGAATGCTGTAGTGGTTTGAATAGGAATGGCCCCCATGAACTCATGTGTTTGAATGCTTGGCCCATGGGGAGTGGCACTATTAGAAGGTGTGGCCTTGTTGGAGTAGGTGTGGCCTTGTTTGAGGAAGTGTGTTGCTGTATTCATGGGCTTTGCGATCTTATAGGCTTAAGTTAGGCTTAGTGTGGAGTTTCCTTCTGTCTTCAGATAAAGATACAGAACTCTCAGCTCTTTCTCCTGTACTATGTTTGCCTTGCATGCCACCATGTTTCCCACCATGATGGCAATGTACTCAATCTCTGAACTGTAAGCCAGCCCCAATTAAATGCTTTCCTTTGTGAGAGTTGCCATGGTCACCGTGTCTCTTCACAGCAGTAGAAACCCTAACTACGACAAATGCCTTATTTAATATAATTATTTTCCATAGGGAAAAGGTACAGTGGAAATTATTTTGAGTGTGCTAAAATTTAGCATTTGAGAATTGATTTAAGATATGAGGAAATAAGAGAATATTGCTCTGTACAACTTGACCATGTGAATTATTTGTTAATTACAAATATCTTAGGTGAAGTAATTAAGGCAGAGTAGAAGAAGCCATGGTGAGAGTGACTCTGTGAAGAGGAGTCTAATTCTCAGGAATGGAGTCTGGAGAGAACCCTAGAAGATGCTGGAACCTGGCCAGGGCCCATAACTGCAGTGGTTGCTGCTCCATAACTCTGTTTAGATAATACTCCAAGGTCCAGGCCTCTCCCTACAGCTCTCCCTAGACAAGGGCCTTGGCTGAGTCCCACATGCATATGAACTCTGGTCTAGTGGGACCCATTAACACCTCATTTGTCATCCATCACATCTATCCCTAAGGGGAGAGTGCCTGGGATGGAGGAAGTAGGCCTTTGTAGCCATTTTTGTCTTTGTTGGCCTAAAAGAAAGGCCTTTCCTTCTTATTCATACTTTGGTTTTAAGAAATGCCTCAGCTGATGAGATTGTGGTGATGGGTCTGTGATTTCTCTGAGTAATTTTGCGAGTTGCATTCAATGTCAACAGGTCCTCTGTCATGAAGGAAGCAATCAACAGAAATAGCCATAAGATCTATTGCAGGTTTTTTTTTTTAAAAATATTCACCCAACAAAGGGTTGTGGAATGTCTCAGTCAGTACAGTGTGGAAGTGTGGGTCTGAAGATCTGATGTTCTTTTAGTGCTGGTTAGTTTTTTGTCAACATGACACAAACTTAGGCCATCTGGGAAGAAGCAACCTCAACTGAAAATATACTCCCATCAGATTGGTCTGTAGGCAAGCCTGTGAATCATTTTCTTGACTAATGGTTGATAAGGGCAGACCCAGTCCTCTGTGGGTGGTGCCACCCTTAATCAGGTAGTCCTGATGCATAAGAAAGCATACTGAGTAAGCCATGGGAGTAAGTCAGTAGGCAGTGTTTCTCCATAGTCTCTGCTTCCGCTCCTGCCTCTGGGTTCCTGCCTTGAGTTCCTGCTCTGGCTTCTCTTTGGAATGAACCATAAGCTATAAAATGAAATAAATCCTCCCCAGGTTTCTTATGGTTATCATCTTTATCACAGTGATAGAAAGCAAACTAGGATAGACGCCCCTCTACCCCACCCTCCCGGCACCTACATGAAAGTATCAGGGTAGTAGAGTACATTTGTACTCCCAGTATGGAAGAGAGGCACAAGCAGATCTCTGGAGCTTGCTGACCAGCCTGTCTTGCCAAGTTGGTGGCTTCGGGTTCAGCAAGAATCCAATTGTGGAAGATACCTAATTTTGACCTCTGGCCTCCACACACACATGCATGCGTGTGTATATATATCTACATGGGCATGTACCTACACATGCTTGCATATATAAAAACATGCACCCACCCCCCCACACACAAATGCAGGTAGTTTAGACTTTCCTACAATAGTGGCTTCCTCCTCTTCCTGAAGTTCAGAGCTTTATGCAGTTCTGTCCTTTGTAATCTGCAGACTGTGTTTTCTCTGTTCTGTTTACTGCCCTCCTTAACAGTTCATCAAGCTTGGTAGTCATAGTCAGGTACTTAAAATCCTTTCATTTAGTTATTTGACATACACATTTTGTCACCTGTGTGTCCCATGAAGCCTAGCATTTTCCTCCCATAGTTTACTCTGAAATATTTATTACTAAAAGTCTTTCCTATAAAAATGTTTTAATCCATTCTATTTAATGCTTATTTTTTCAAACTTCTCTACTCATATCTCTCTTGTCTTCCATGCTTTTTGTGATTTCTTTTATTCGTCATATGTCTAGCACACATATCAATGAGTAAGATGATCCTATTTTGATTATCTTTCCAGCAACATGTGCAGATCTGGAGAAATGCCATATGACTTCAAAGTTAATTTGATTGGGGCCACATTCAAGGTGGATTGAGAAAGCTGATGACACCATGGCAGCTGTCATGGTCAACATATTCTCTGCTTCTCACAGAATTTTCACCTGACCTTCATTACATAAGCTGTTTACCATGTAACTGTGGGTCCTATACCTCTGACTCCAAATCCCACTTATGATACTCATAAGCCTGAGCCTGTATCTTGGGTGTACACTGCTTTAGCCTATACAGGCAAAGTTATGCTGCAGCCACAGGTAGTCCCAACCTTTCAGTGACTTCCACCCATCCATTCAAGTATTGTCTTTATGGGAGATGTCATTCTGTAAATATATTTCATAATATATATATATATACACACATATATATATTAGTAGTTATGTGTTAATACTTAAGACAGAGTTAGACAATTAGAAGGTCTCGACATTGGCCAACAGCATTGTAACTAATAGTGTGTCTGTGTGCTCAACAGGACTCAGGCAGGAATCCCCCAACATTGTCTGATACTCAGTCCAATCTCCATATCTGCCTTGTTTTCCAGGGTCATTATGCTGTGGGGATGGGAGGAATGGGGAGTGTAAAAGGAGAGTTAAGCATCAGGACCAATGGTGCCAAACCTGAAGTGGCTTGTGTTACTTCGATTCACATTTCCTTGGCCTCAATTTGTATGACCCCAGCTAATATCAATATGGTACAGAGTACTTCTATGTGGAGAAAGACAGAAAAGAAGGACTGGCTGCTAGTCTGCAGTAGTAATGCCACCTTCCCTGACCCTCACTTTTCTTAAGAATAAGATGGAAAGAATATCTACCACAAACGATATTGCAATAATCCAATACTATACTGTATACATAATATCTAGAATCAATGATAAACACCCAATAAACAAACGGTTTTCATTACCCTTAACATTACATTTTACTAGCGTACAGTAATCCAGATCTACAGCATTGTGCATGAAAGGAAAGGGCATAATCTAAGAAGCTCCCACATAGTAGTTCCAACAGAAGGCACTTGAACACCTTGACTTCAGGATATGATTTTTTTACATCATGAGGAGCGAAGAAGAATATTCATCAACCTGTTGACAATCATGACCTCTAGCTGTGGAATAATAAATGGATTTAATTACTCCCTCATAAATCCTGACACTTTTCTGAATATTTTACCATCAACATGCGTGGTTAAGAATAACAGCCGTGTATGTGCCAGGCATGCATCTTATTTCTCTCAGTGCTTATGATGTAGATGCTATCATCATGCCCATTTTACAGTTCAGGAAAATAAGGTACATGATTTATTAAAACCACTGGAGATCAAAATAGCAAAGAAGCCATAGTAGTTAGCCATAGAAGTCAGGCACACACCTTTAATCCCAGCACTCAGGATCAAGAGGTACACAGATCACTGAGTCTAAGACCACCCTGGGTTACCAGAGAGTGAATGAGAGTTCACACCTTTAATCCCAGGATTTGAGAGGTATAAAAGGTAGAGGTATCCCATCTGAGAATTAGTCTCCACACCGAGGAGGGCATAGCAGATAGCAGTCTGAGTAAATTTAAGCAGCAGTAAAGTCGGGAGCAGTTTGAGGCTCACCCCTTTGGTCTGACCTGAGGTAGAGGTAAGATCTACTACTGGCTTGGCTTCTTTACTCCTCTGATCTTCAGCTTGAAGCTTGAACCCAGTATCAGTCTCTGGGTCTTTTATTTATCATGCAAATTGCCTGAGCATTGAATAGCAGAATCAGAATTTGTACACAAACCAGAGAATAAGTAATACTGATTTCAATAGCACACCTTTGTGCTCATGACCCTAGTATAAATGAAGCTGTGCCCAGCACCACATTGGACCCCACAACCTATCTCAGGAGGAACATTTTTACAGTTACACATAAAAGGCTCAGTAAGTCGAAGGCAAGGATTCAGAGGCAGGGTCGTGGTCTTTTTCTGACTTAAGACATGGCATAGTATACTAATTTGATGCTTATTTGCTGAATGAGTAAATAAACAGAGCCTGGGAGGATTGCATCTCACCAAAGACAAGAAGGAAGTCTGGAGAGGCTACTTGGTGGTTAGGCCTTCATGGCTATTGAGTGGGTAGACTTTCATGGCTATTGAGTGGGTAGACCTTCATGGCTATTGAGTGGGTAGACCTTCATGGTTATTGAGTGAGAGCCCACCAGATCTCTGCTTTCTTTCATCACAAGCTTCCCCTGAAGGAGACTCAACTCTCCCATGCCACGTCAGAGTGGTAGTGTCACTCTGTCTTAGTCACTGTTTTACAAGGAAACTCTCATAAAAGAAAGCATTTAGTTGGGGTTTGCTTACAGTTTCAGAGGGTTACTCCATTATCATCATGGTGAGGGCAGGGTAGGAGAATGGAGGCAGTCATGATACTAGAGCAGGGGCTGAGAGCTACATCAAGATCTGTAGATAGAGAGACAGAAAGACTGGGCCTGGCATGGGCTTTTGAAACCTCAGAGCCCACTCCCGGCGATATGCTTCCCCCAACAAGGTCACACATCCTAACCCTTCTAATCTTATCAAAGAATTTCACTCCCTGATGACTAAGCATTCAGCTATATGAGGCTGTAGGGTCATTCCTATTCAAACTACCATGTACCTTAAGTCATTCTACACCAGTGTCTCAGATGCCTCTTCTTAAGATTTCCCCTGCATTGCTTCCCTGGTGGGTCTCTTCCAGATGCCTGGAACTTGACCTTGGAGCAGCATCCCCACACCATATACTCACTCCTTCAGTACTTCTCCAATCTTCTGTGGCAGCACCATGACCTGTACACTTCCTTCCCAGGTTCACTCTGCCTGCTTTCTTCTCCGGGTTGCTCCTTTTCTGCTGACTAGTGAACACGTGATTCTTCTCAATCATTACCCTCTAAGTAATTCCAACTGGTCCTACCATTCAACTGTCATCATTTATGTAAATGATATGCAGATGAATACTTTCTCCTCAGTTCCCAACATATATCCAAATGTTTGTTTGATCTTTGGCAATAGAGAATTTCAGGGCCTGACTACATATTTTATTTGGGAGATTTTTGAATCTCTGCCTAGCTATATGATGTTTTCTGATACATTTATATTTTTATACAAATTGGAACCTTCTTTTCTTGTAACCTTTAATATTGTCTTTCAGTCCCTTGGTATTGGCATTTCAGCTGCAAAATATTTTGGAGAAGTTCTGTGGAATTGTCTGATTGGAATTAAATGTCTCCTCTATGTTTGGGTTTCCATCTTTCCCTAGATTTGGGGATTTCTTTCTGATATAATCTTATCAAATATTTCTATGACTTCAGACTGTGTCTCAACAGTTACTTCTGAGGTTAGGTTTCTCTTTCTTTTATCGGTGTCTATCTTAGTTAGGGTTTACTATTGCTATGAAGAGACACCATTATCATGGCAGCTCTTATAAAGAATACATTTAATGAGGGGTGCTCGCTTACAGTTTCAGGGGTTTAGTCAATTATTGATGTGACAGGGAGCATGGCAGCATGTAGGGACCTGAGAATACTATATTTTGCGGGCAACAGGAAATCAATTGACTGTCTCACTGAGTGAAACTTGAGGAAAAGATCTCAAAGCCTGCCAGCAGTGACACACTTCCAACAGAAGATGTGGCCGAGATTAAAAGTGTGCTCTCCAGCCTCAAGGTCTGGATTAAAGGCATGTGTCATCATGCATCCTCCAACAAGGCTACACCTCCTAATAGTGTTACTTCCTATGAATTTATGGGGGCCAGATAACATTCAAACTACAACAGTATCTGAATACATTGTTTCCTTGACATTGCCCTTGATTACTGATATTGTTTCTTTGACTTGGTCAGGTTTGCTGGTGATGTTTTTCACTGTATACCATATTTGATTTATTAAGTCATTTCTAGCATTTGTCTGTTTTTATTTTCAGAACTCTGACTTTTTCTGTATTTCTCTTCCATATAACAGAATTTCTCATTCATGCTACAGATTTTCTTAAACTGATTCTGAACTTTTTACTCCATGCATCTGCTTGCTTGAATAATCTTTGAAATCATTGATCATTTTTAAAAAGATACAATTTGAGTGACTGGCATTTCAACCAATTCATTAACTTTGGTTTGAGTTTAAGAATTAAGAGCTTTTGGAGGGGTTGTACTGCCTTGTTTTTTCTTGGTAGCAATTTGTCTGTCTGCCTGTCTGTCTGTCTTTGTTGGTGTGTGTTGGCATACTCTTCTATGTTTGGGCTTTGCATTCTCACTTTTTTGTTTGTTTGTTTGTTTTACATAGGTCTTCTTAGTGGGCAGTCTTCTCTGGTGTTTATGAGCCCTACAGAGTTCAGGCTGGTGCTCTACTAGAGATTTCTGCCCACAGCTTTTATCTGCATGGACTATAGACCACAACCTTCCCTTATATACATTAGCATTCACAGGTCTGAGCCCAAGTCGACTTCAGTTCCCTGTGTGGTCAGTGGGTCTAGGAATTTCACTGGCTTAATCTCCAAAGGATGGGAGGCTTAGCTGAGTTGTCTCCTGCTGGCCAAGGGTTTGGTTGTAGAGGGTCTCCTAGGATGGCCTCTCTCCTTGGCACCAACTAGCTCCAGCTCCATCTTTCTGATTTATTAGTTCTTTGAGAATTCCATACAATGAGTTTTGATCATATTCACCTTCCACAGCTCCTCCCAGATCCATTCGTACTTCAGTGTCTAATCAACTTTGTGTCTTTTCCCTCCCTCCTTCTCTCTCTAACCCATCAAGAACAATTTGTTCTACCTATTTATTCCTGGATGTGTGGTCTTCTACTGGAGGATGGTCAACTTACTAGGGGAAGCATTCTTAAAGGAAACTGACTTTCTCTTCCCCAGCATCTATCAATTACAACAGCTCCCCAGCAAGGGGTGGGACTTCAGGAATACCTCCCCGCTCCATGTTGAGATTTGGTCTGGCTTGTGCTTGCATGGGGCTTGTCCTTGCTGTCAGAATTGCTGTGGTGTCTGGAGGAACCTGTTTCGTTGTGGTCATCTGTCACCTTTGGCTCTTCTAGTCTTTCTGCCCCCTCTTCTGCAATTGTCCTTGAGTATTGGGACTGAGGGAATGTGTTAAATGTGTTAAAGACTGGGCAATGCTCACTCTCCTGTTCTCTGCACCTTTGCCATTTGTGAGTGTCTGTTAATCACCATCTACTACAAATAGAAGTTTCTCTGATAAGGATTAAAACACAAATTGATATATTACTGTAACAGTGTCATTAGGAGTTTGATTAATACTATGCTCATTTAGCAGAGTAATAGTGGTACATTCTCCCCTGGGGCTCCTAACCTGTCTAGACACAGGTTCTTGGCCTGACAATGGTGCCAGCTATGGATTTCATCTCAAGGACTGGGACTTAAATCCAATAAGAAGATGGTTGGTTACCATCTTGACAGAAATGCCTCTCCATATAAAGTCCATGTGGTTCTTATTTGCCTAAGAAAGTGACAGAAGTTACTATATTCAGTCAGTTTGACTGCAGCATTCTGTGTTTTTTATTTCATATGCCATATTGCTTCCTTTTTCTTGTTCAAGTTTTACTAAAAAAATCTTCATTCATTATCTTGCTTTTAATTTCCTTCATTACTTTGACTATTCTAAAATCCATGTTGTCATGCAAACTCATTCTCCTAAATTTCAACCCTGTAAGTATCATTGCCCATTGTTAAAGGGGAGTCTGGTACTGATCTGTCTACATCAGTGTTTTGCAGGTGTTGAGATAATTTTCTAGGGTGGGATGATAAGAGGAAAATAGGGTGTGAAACCCTGTTGGTGAGTGAGGAGAGGCAGGTTGACTCTTTGTATACTCTGTGGCATAATCAATGATGACCTCTCCTTTGAAGAGAAGAGTTGTGGGTGAATCCAGTAAGGGCAACCCTACTCATGACTCCCACATACTCTTCAGGTTCTATGTTATTCTAAAACTCTTTTTCTGCTGTTTTCTATAAGTACAATCTGACTATGAATTAAATCCATATCTATTGAGTACCTATTAGCTGTTAGATCCCACCACCATGCATTATAACATACAGTTTTGAGTGAGCCAGTTAGTTCCCATCATCAAAAAGCCTAATTGGGCCAAAGATGTAAATCATTATAATGCAGCATATAATCGCTGTAACAAATATGAAGGTACTTTGCTATTGGAACACTTAGGTAGAACATCTAATTCACTTTTGATTGAGTTATTAAATTTCAGGCTAAGAAAGTTCTGTTTTGGCATAGCATAATTTGAATAAGGCATGCAATGAATTTTCACATTGTATCTTTTAGAATAAAGCAGAAATTCATCCAGGGGTTGGTCCATTTCTGGTTACTGCAACAGAGTATCTAATACTGGGTGAATGATAAACAATAGAAGTTTATTCATCTTATATGTCTAGAGATTGGGTAAGGTAAAAAAGACCAACTATTAGATACTGATTCATTAGAGATTTACTTAAAGCACTGTTTGTGCTTTACCAAACATGACTCCACTTGCTCCCTGGAACCGAATGACCTGGAGAAGTAGTTGAAGCAATGGGTCATTGCCATTAACAACCTCCTGACTGCTACATAAACTTTTGTAAAATCTTGCTTGCTTGCCTACCCCACCTTGTGGTTTGAGTTCAAACTGAGAATAGGAACTTTCCCAGCATTGAAGTCTTTAGGAGTTATCTCAGCTTCATTTCCTACAGTGATATCTCATCTCTTCCACTCCCAGGTATGGGAGTGCTTATCCCAGAAAGACTCCCACAATAACGTCAGTCGACAGTCTTTCTGGGTCATAGAACAGCGAAGGGTAAGAGATCAGGGTATGCAATCTTCATCTTTCCTATACATTTAAAGTTGTTAATCCCCCAGGGACTCATTCCACCTTCATGGCCACGCCCAACACTAATTGCCTCCTATAGGCCCCACCTTCAAGTACTATCAACCAATCAATTTGGAAGGTGTTCTAAATGTAGAGGCTTTTGATGGGGTCATTTAATGTAGAAACTGGGTGTTGTTGATTTATCAAGTGACATAAATCTGGCGAGGAGTCATCAACGGTTTGTCAAGAAGTTCCCCCATGGAGCCTCATTCTATGTTGTGTTTTCATTCATGGCTTAAATAGTGACACGAAAAATACAGTTTTCAGCTTTGCAGCTAAAATCAAGCCTAAAGAGAGAGGCTTACGTGTATGGGTTAATATTGGGGTGTTCAATTCGATATGGGCTGATCTCTAAAATTTACAAAGAACTCAAGAAGCAAGTCTCCAAAACATCAAAGGATCCAATTAAAAAGTGGGCTACAGAACTAAATAGAGAATTCTCATTAGAGGAGTCTAAAATGGTTGAGAGGCACTTAAGAAAGTGCTCAATATCCCTAGCCATCAGGAAAATGCAAATCAAAACAACTCTGAGATACCATCTTACTCCTGTCAGAGTGGCTAAAATCAAAAACACCAATGACAGTTTATGCTGGAGGGGATGTGGAGAAAGGGGAACACTCCTCCACTGTTGGTGGGAGTGCCAACTCGTACAACCACTTTGGATATCAGTATGGAGATTCCTCAGGAAAATGAGAATCAGCCTACCAGAAGACCCAGCAATTCCACTCTTAGGCGTATACCCAAAAGATGCATATTCATACAACAAGGATGTCTGTGCCACTATATTCATAGCAGCATATTTGTAATAGCCAGAACGTGGAAGCAATCTAGATGCCCCTTAACTGAAGAGTGGCTAGAGAAAATGTGGTACATTTGCACAATTAAGAGGGAAAAAACAGCTGGGCTGTGGTAGTGCACGCCTTTAATCCCAGCACTTGGGAGGCAGAGGCAGGCAGATCTCT